AAAGCTAGTCCCACTGCTATTCAGACGAGTTCGGTACAGACACACAACCCGACTACAGTCAAAGAAATTGCAGAACAATGTCTTCATTTATAATCAAGCTTGAATAACGAGTAGTTTATTGTAATCAAATTATATTCTTTGCATGAAAATTTGGCTTATAGTGTTGAGTTAAATATGTAAATAATATATTACATGTATGTTAAACTTATTTTTAAGTAAACAATTAACAATAAACAAATGTACTCTCCTAGACTCTACAAATACTGAGATTCTTATGTACTGTATAGTGTCACTATATACCTACAGTACACGCGTTCTGTTCGGTATTCCTTACACACACTCTTTTGGTACAGACACACATACATGACGTTTACGCCCCTTGGTTTAGCTATGTTTTTAATTGCCATATAAATTGATAAATAAATAAACATAGATAGCTTATGTACGCAAAATCACGAAGAATTGTACAGTCCGCGAACTTATACGTCTTCTAGGGGTCAAAGTGTACTTTAATGATAAGCGGGGTGGTTTGGTGTTTTAATGGATTTCATAATAGAGTGTAAAATAACTCCGGGAATGGAACTATTTGAACAACAATATTTCACTGAGCAATATATCATGTTGACGAGAACTGAAGAAGGACATGAGAAGGACTAAACTAACTTAAATTTCTCTGTACAGAACTCATGTACACCACAAGTACTCAATGACATAAGAACAGCCAATGTTCACAACCGACCTAGTTAATCTATATAATAGGAATATCTTTAAAACATCTCTGTACATTTATATCTTTCAAGATGAAAAATGTCGTCTTATGCGCAATCTATCTTTATCTATGGTTATGGCTGTCGAAAATAGGAATTACAATGCGAATTCTTAACAAAACAATCTCGAATTTATTGTCAACCATGAATTCCAATTTGATGGGTACATCCCAGCTCAGTTATTTTAATAACCGAGATAAAATTAACACAATTACTTAATTCTACAAATATGTTGAAATGCTTTTAAGGAAAAATTATTATTTGAATCCTGCAATCATAAAATATAGATACATGAATGTTAAATATTAAGATGAATAAATAATGAACTAAAGCAAACAAGCCAAGGAAAATTTCAGGCATATATTCAAGATTTACTTGTTTTGGAGAACAAATCAATACACCTTTCATATTTTATCAAGATTATTTTTCATATTCATTCAAAATGTGACGAAAATATGTTCAAATTTTCAACTTTAAAACAAAATTGATTATACAATACTCAATCCTGATCATAATTCCAGAGCAACATATTCTTGGTTTCCATAGAGCTCATTTAGAGTCAAGGAATCTTAGTTTCCATAAAGCTCATTTAGAATCAAGGAATCTTAGTTTCCATAGAGCTTATTTAGAGTCAAGGAATTTTAGTTTCCATAAAGCTCATTTAGAGTCAAGGGATCTTAGTTTCCATAGAGCTCATTTAAAGTCAAGGAATCTTAGTTTCCATAGAGCTAATTTAGAATCAAGGAATCTTAGTTTCCATAGAGCTTATTTAGAGTCAAGGACACATAAAGGAATCTTTGTTTTCATAGAGCTCATTTAGAGTCAAGGAATCTTTGTTTCCATAGAGCTCATTTAGAGTCAAGGAATCTTTGTTTCCATAGAGCTCATTTAGAGTCAAGGAATCTTTGTTTCCATAGAGCTAATTTAAAGTCAAGGAATCTTTGTTTGCATAGAGCTCATTTAGAGTCAAGGAATCTTAGTTTCCATAATGCTTATTTATAGTCAAGGAATCTCAGTTTTCATAGAGCTCATTAGCGTCAAGGAATCTTTGTTTCCATAGAGCTCATAAGAGTCAAGAAATCTTAGTTTCCATAGAGCTCATTTAGAGTCAAGGAATATAAGTTTCCAGAGCTCACTCAGAGTCAAGGAAACTTAGTTTCCATAGAGCTTATTTAGAGTCAAGGAAACAAATATTCTTAGTTTCCATAGAGCTCATTTAGAGTCAAGGAATCTTAGTTTACATAGAGTTCATTTAAAGTCAAGGAAAAATATATTCTTAGTTTCCATAGAGCTCATTTAGAGTCAAGGAAACATATAATCTTAGTTTCCAGAGAGCTCATTTAGAGTCAAGGAAACTTGGTTTCCATAGAGTTCATTTAAAGTCAAGGAAACATATATTCTTAGTTTCCATAGAGCTCATTCAGAGTCAAGGAAACATATATTCTTAGTTTCCAAAGAGATCATTTAGAGTCAAGGAATCTTAGTTTCCATAGAGCTCATTTAGAGTCAAGGAAACATATATTCTTTGTTTCCATAGAGATCATTTAGAGTCAAGGAATCTTAGTTTCCATAGAGCTCATTTAGAGTCAAGGAAACTTAGTTTCCATAGAGCTCATTTAGAGTCAAGGAAACATATATTCTTAGTTTCCATTGAGCTCATTTAGAGTCAAGGAAACTTAGATTCCATAGAGCTCATTTAGAGTTAAGGAAACATATATTCTTAGTTTCCATAGAGCTCATTTATAGTCAAGGAATCTTAGTTTTCATAGAGCTCATTTAACACAAGGAATCTTAGTTTCCATGAGACACTCCCTCTTAATACTGTTGGTGTAATCTTCAAAAATATAGATGGAAACGTTTTTTAAAAAATATCTGTATATTGATACATATTATTTAATGAATAAAAAGCTGAAGGGCCCGGCGTTCTTAAATTCTATTAATCCCCGCCCACCGATGAGTGTCCACAAAAAATTTCAGCCCAATCGGTCTAGCCGTTTGGCTATACGAAACATATATATATATATGAATGTCTTGTTTTATTATATAGATGATATCAAATATATATTTACACTGAAGGCAGTATTGATAAAAGTTTTTTAATGAAACTTTTTTAGTTAAAGGCAAAAGTGAGATTTCAAAGTATTTATTTATATGATGTAATTATACTTAAATGGAAAACATGAGTAATTTCAAGTGACCCTCCATTTATTGAGTAGCATGTCCGATTCGTCCAATGTACCTTTGAAACCTGCATTTCACCAAAGTTTCTGAAGCAAGAAATGCACGACCCACAAATGAAAATAACCAGTTTTCAAAATGGGAAACATGGATAATGGATATCAAATCTAAAATTTCACCCATGGCCCATAAATTATAAGTAGTGCAAATGAACATATTTTAGTGCAATTAAACAAAAAATGTTCAATTGGACAAAAATCTAAAATTTCACCAATTGCCCATAAATTATAGATAGTACAAATGAACATATTATAGTGCAAATAAAAAAAAACTAATGTTGCAATATAATATCTATAGAAAAAAATTAGTCCGTTTGAACAAATTTTGTGTTGGAAATATTCATTTGCACCAACAATTTATTGCACTAATATTTAAAGAAAAAACAATAGTCCGTTAGAACAAATTTTTTGTTACATTTGCAGTTCATTTGCACTTATGTTCAATTGCACTGGTAATATTTACAGAAATAAACATTAGTCCGTTTTTTCCAGAGAAAAGTTCTTCAGAACCAATTCCTGGGAATTTCTATTCCCAAGATTTTCTCAAAAGCTCCTCAGGAATATCTTAACATATTCTAAGCATATTCCTGAGTACATTCACTAACCAGGACTTTGACCCAACAGTAGTGAATAACTTAACAACTATCTTTATTGCCCCTCCAACTTATTAGAAGTATAACCAATTTCTTAACTCAGAACTTTATAGTCATTTTGGATCTTGCTGAAGTTTTCATGTATTTCATTTATTCAGACAACTGAATTGTCAAGAAAAAAATAAAAAAATGAAAAAAAAATAAAATATTTTTAGAAAAAAGATGGTTCTAAAGTAAATCATAATTTTTTTTCCATAAGGATGCAAAGAAAAAAAGATTTAGTTAGGGCAGTGCATAATAGAAGAGAACCTCACAGACACCTATAATTGGAGAAAAACGGAACTTGAAAATCTTTGATGAAGTCCTGAGAATTTTTCAGGAATTTCTGAGAAATATTCCTGTGATATTCTTAGGAATTTCTTGAGAAAAAATCCTGAGAAATTCTCAGGGATTTCTCAAACTTTTTCTTTTATTTAATTCCACTAAAAATCCGTAAACTTAATTGGTGACCGAGTCCTAAGATTTTCTCAGGAATTTCCGGAGAAGTATTCAGGAGAACTTCTCTGAAATTTCTTGGGGTGAAATTTTGGAGAAATTCCCAGGAATTTCTAGAAACTAATTCTCTTATTAAATTCCCCTAAAAATCTGTGAACATGGTGACCAAGTCCTAAGAATTTCTCAGGAATTTCCAGAGAAGTATTCAAGAGAAATTCCCAGGAATTTCTTGAAACTAATTCTCTTAATGTATTCCCCTAAAAATCCGTAAACTTGGTGACCAAGTACAACTAAGAATTTCTCAGGAATTTCCTGAGAAGTATTTGGGAGGATTTCTCAAGAATTTATTGGGGTGAAATTATGATTTCTCAAACTAATTCTCCAATTCCCCTAAAAATATCTAAACTTGGTGACCAAGTAAAACTAAGAATTTCTCAGGAATTTCCAGAGAAGTAATCAGGAGAAATTCTCAGGATTTTCTTGGGGTGAAATTCCAGAGAAATTCCTAGGAATTTCTGGAAACTAATGCTCTTAAAAAATTCCCCTAAACAGGGTGACCAAGTCCTAGGAATTTCTTAGGATTTTCCGTAAAAGTTTTATCGGGGAAATCTGAGGAATTTTGTGGGCCGGAAAATTCGGAACAAATTTCTCAGGAATTTCTCGAAAATGAGTCTCAAAACTGTGATCCCCCAAAAATTTCTCGTCTTATGGACGAATTCTGGAGAATTTCTCGAGAATTTCCGAGGTTAATCAGTTACAAGAAATGATTCTTGACTTTATTGCAAATGCACGTTAGTTAAATCAGACATTAGTGCAAACGATATAGCATCAAAAATCCAATGTTTCGGAACTGTCGTCGTCTGCGGGTTAAGATTTTATCATTTATGGAAACCGCCGAACTCTAGAAAGACTTCTGGCGGCCATGTTGGAAATCAATACATTCAGAAATATCTTTTAAAGCGTCGCTTACTCGTAAAAAAATATTATCAGAAATATGGGACGGAAAAAGAAGAAGCAGACTAAACCTTGGTGTTGGTAAGTGCTTATAATGTCTTGATAATAACTATGACGTTTATAATATAGGGAAGTGATTTACAAAAATTAATATATGGTTGTTCGGTTAGAATATTATATTTACAATTACAACTATATATAATTGAACTTTTCAGACAAACTAAGGGGGTTCAGTCTTAGAATAAGACTTTTTGGACCGAGGAACGAAATCATTTAAAATTAATGGAGATTATTAATGTTAGTAAGTTCCTTGACGCCATCCAANAGGCCGCAGCGACCGGTCCCCTAGCCTGTCTTAGCCGCGGCGCTCGTCCCCTTAGCCGTGTCTTCGCCGCAGTGCTCGGCCCCCCAGACTGTCCTAACCGCAGCGCTAGGCCTAGAAAGTGTCTTAGCCTAAATCTAACCAAACCCTAAATATAAACTAATTTTGTTGAAAAAATCAATAAAAAAATTGATATATAAAATTGATGGGGGAGGGGGGTGTCCAACAAATATCGTTCTCTAGGACAGATCCTAAATTTTCATTTTTTGTCTAGGTACTGTAACAGAATATTTGACGACGAGAAAATTTTGATTCAACATCAGAAGGTATGGCTCACTTAGTACTTGTAATTTAATTTAATTTGTCCTTTTTTCGATATTTAAAAAATTGTTTTGATTAAGGCTGAGATTAAAAACTTATTTTCTCGGACAAATGTTCATCCAAAAATTTTAAATAAGTTTGAAAATTATTAAAAAATAAATGAAAATTCAAAGTATCTTAAATTAAAAATTTTAAATGGTTCAAGGCGGTTTAAGTATTTTTGTCCATTAAAGTGCACCAAAGTTTAACAACTTCCTACTGGCCGCTGCCCTAGAAACTATGCACCCCTCTGACAGTCGACAGTGCAAAGAATATGTTTATTTTCAGGGCCCGGGCTTTCTATTCACTGTATGCAGGTTCACAAGGAGACAATTGACAAGGTAAAAGCGTTTATTAATTTATATTTTGACTCACCCCTGTTGTCGAAACTTTAAAATTTTGTATCTGTTTGAAGCATGCGAACTAGGGTCTTCTCCCTTGGTCCACTGACTCGTCTGATCGGTGATTCTAATCGGTGATTCAAATTTGAATTGGTGATTCAGATATGAATCGGTGTAAGGCATTTCAATTTAACTTATCAAATTCATTAAATTCGGTTCCATCTCCGAAATTAAATTTTTCAATTTAGAAGTGTACGCTGTGGATATCGAGTTTCACCGATGTGGTTTAGCGCCTTCGCACTCAAAGTGTTAACCTGGGTTTGTTTAGGTACCGAACTCTGCTCCAACTCGTGGAAATATTGAGATAGAGATCTACGGTATGGAAGGTATACCCGAAGAGGACATAAAGGTACGTAACCTATAAACTGGGGGTAAATTTTTTTCTTTGACCTCCCCTTTCGGGAAGCTAGGGAATGGTGGCCACCCAACTGTCCCTTTCTCCCGTGTTGCACCTCTGGTTATACCGTATATGTATATTTTAAGAAAAATATACATTATCGTTGACAAACGTCAACTAACCCAAACATAATCTTTCCTCAATATTTTATGATTGTTTTTGATATTTTTGTATATTTTATCAGTTAAATTAAAATAATGTTTTGAAAAATAAAATCTTTCGAAACCATTGTTTAAAATCCTTGTATGAATTTACCAGGCTCATGAGGCGCGTGGAGACGATGATGACGACGGCAGACGAGATAATTCAGATTCTCCAGCAGTTCCCACTCCCCCTCTTCAAGCAGGTAACCCTCCCCCCACAACTGTTTAAATGCGAAGATTATTGCAATTTAACCCTCCCCACTCCTCACTTTAATTTAAACCTCAACAATTAAAGTTTGTTAAATACAGATACTTTGGGAGATCTAATTTCTTTTTGAAAATGTTTAATACTCCGAACTAACATTAAAAGTAAATCTAATCTAATCTACATAATCCTTATTTTGTTCTTTTATTCTACTATATTTTTAACAAATATTTGATAATAATTTGTCTAAAAAGATATATACTTGAAAATGTCTGGAAATAGTTCAATCTCTCCAAATCTGCACTAAACCACAAAACAGATATTTTGTGTTTTCGGCTCATTTATTCCAAAAAATTAAAAGGGATGATTTTTTAACAAAAATATTATTATTTTATTTCATATTTGGTTTATTTTATAAACTATGCCTAGGTCCCCAACTGCCTGCTGGTATGGCCGGTATGCCTGTAGTTCGGCCTGGTGCTCCTTTTATGCCTGGCCCAGGGTTAGTTATAAATCAGTACATAGGATCCGGATCCGTTGGATATTCAACATTTTTACCTCCTGGATCCGGATCCGTTGAATACTCAACATTTTTGACCTCCTGGATCTGGATCCGTTGAATACTCAACATTTTGACCTCCTGGATCTGGATCCGTTGAATACTCAACATTTTGACCTCCTGGACCCGGATTCGCAAAAATATGCTTATCTCAGGGTCAACATTTCTAACAAAACTGTCAAAAACAACTTTTAGTCTCAACCCCTAAATCAAAGGGAGATTACTAAAAAAATTCTTTTGCCTGAATTATTCACCAAGTTTTATCATGTAAAAGCTAAAACAAAACTAAAAAAGAAAAATAATTTTAAAAGTGATATTTTTGGTAAAAAGTATTAAAACGAATAGAAAAAAATTGTAATTCTGAAAAACATACACCCCTGTGCGACTATCCTAATTTTAAATACAAACATTTTTGCGAAATTTTTATTTTCTGTTTCCTAGGGTGGAATTCCTTCAACTTTTAATCAATCTAATCTACCCTATAATTCTTGTATTTTTGCATCAATGAGATCAAGACCTAATTTTCAATAAAAGTACTTACCATTTTTATGTTCTTGAATAATTTTTTGGATAGTGCACCTCTGCATTAATTTTTATTTGGCCTATCTTTTTTATTTGGGTTCAATAATTTCTAATATGATTTTTAAATTATCCTTACGGAACAGCAATTATATTTCAGTATGGGCTGGGGAGGACCTGGTGTTATGCCCGGAATGCCTGGCATGCCCGGCATGATGCCTCAACAAATGCAGTTTCCAGGTATTTTGATACGGCTCGTCCAATCTTTTGATATTAAGTAGTTGTATCAACGTCATTGATTCAACAACATACAAGTTATATTGCATCAAAAAATTACCTCAAGTGCTCTGAAAAAATTTCTTTTTTCTTCCAAATTATCAGAAACGAAGATTAAAAAAAACGCACATTTTAAAACTTGAATCACATCCGGGAAATTTTCAATTTTTTTTGAGTTGGCATTTTAACTTCTTTTTCTATTTTTAATTTTAACATTTGGTTTGATTAGGAGGACATGCCGCAGGATTAATGCAGCCTCAGCAACCTCTCTTCCCATCTGCGGCCAACACAGACGGTGAGTTTTACCCATAGATTTGAATATAATTCTGGGGGATTTTTTATATTATTTTCGGAGATTTTCCGTGGACTGATCAAGTACTTTTTCCAGGCGAAAATATGAAAGCATTTGGTTGGAACAATTCAAATAAGTGGAATAGCGGTTCAAACAATGGTCCAAACAATTGGAACGTTGGGAACGGTTGGACCGGGCCCCCTAACCCTAGATCCAACCCATCTTGGTGATGAGGCATCGTGTGTTTATTTCGCAGTATTTTATCTTTAATCGCGTTGAACCCCCAATACTGTATTACTGTACATTTTGTACCAATTAAAGATCAATAAAGTTTTTTTCGGTTTAAAATCATTTCTTTTATTTAAACTGTTCAACTGTGAGCCCCTTCAAATCCAATGCTTTCATATTTTTACCTTTTTTCTTGTAAAGGGGAGCATAGTTGAATAGTAGAGAAACTAGAGAGAGATAATTAATAAGTTAGTAAAATATCAGATATGATATTTATTTAGATTTATAAGATATACATAGTAGCAGATTCCTTGCCTATTTTAAACAGAGATTAAAGGTATAGGAAGTATATTTCAAAGTTTAACTTAGAGATTCCAAGACCTATTTTAAAGCAGAGATTAAAGGTATAGGAAGTATATTTCAAAGTTTAACTTAGAGATTCCAAGACCAATTTTAAAGCAGAGATTAAAGGTATAAGAAGTATATTTGAAAGCTAAATGTAGAGATTATAAAACTTATTTTAAACAGAGATTAAAGGTATATGATGTATATTTGAAAGCTAAATGTAGAGATTCTAAAACTTATTTTAAACAGAGATTAAAGGTATATGATGTATATTTGAAAGCTAAATGTAGAGATTATTAAACTTATTTAAAGCAGAGATTAAAGGTGTAAGAAGTATATTTGAAAGTTTAACTTAGAGATTCTAAAACTTATTTAAAACAGAGTTTAAAGGTATGGGAATTATATGTGAAAGTTATTTAAAACAGAGATTAAAGATATGGAAAGTTAATTTAAATGTTATGCATAGAGATTCTAAGATTTATTGAAAGAAATATTAAAGATATAGAAAATATATTTAAAAGTTACAAGAAAAAAGTTATTACACTTATAGAGATAGTTGAAGAGTTTAAAACTGGAAATTTAGAACCGTGGATTTAAAGAAATTGCAAAACTGTTAAATGGAAAAATATTAAAATCAAATCAGATGTTCAGAAGAATAAAATAATTTTTTCTCAGTTGTTAGGTATGTAATTTTTTTAGGTTTTAATCGCTGAGTATATTTTTGGGTAAAGAGTAGGAAAAAGAATGAAAAACTATACCTTTTCTTATCAAATTTTTCTTTTTTTCTACATATCTTCAAAAATTATCCCCCCCCCCCCCCACCCATTAAAAATATACACCCCTGTAAAAGGGCAAAATGGTAGACTTCATTCATACGAGAAAAAAATAGGTAGATTTGAAGGTGTAAAAAGTGAGATGGTAGGTTTAAGACATCCGAGAGAAATAGTGGGTAGATTTAAAAGGTTTTTGTGAATTGGTAGATTTAAGACATACGAGAGAAATAATGGGTAGATCTGAAAAGTGTTAAATAGTGAATTGATAGATTTGAAAGTTGTAAAAATTAAATTGGTAGATTTATGGCATACAAGAGAAATAGGTAGATTTGAAAAGTGTAAAATGCTGTGGTAGATTTATGGCATCCAAGAGAAATAGGTAGAGTTGAAAAGTGTAAAATAGTGAATTGATAGATTTAAGACATCCGAGAGAAATAGTGGGTTGATTTGAAAAGTGTGAAATGGTGAATTGGTAGATTTTAAAGTTGCAAAAAAAGTTAATTGGTATATTTAAGACATACGAGAAAAGTAGTGGGTAGATTTGAAAGAAAAAATAAATTGGTAGATTTAAGTGGTACGAGAAAAATAGTAGAGTTGAAAGAAAAAGTTAAATGGTAGATTTAAGTAAAACTGAAAGGTAGTGTAGATAGTGTATTTAAGTCATATAAATAGAAAGAGATTAATTTTGAGAGAAGTTTTAAGAAGAATTTATCAATTTGATAAATATTCTCTGCATAAACCTATTCTACCTACTTGATAGATGTCTAACTAGGAAAACCTACCTTCCCTGCATACAGTGATGATGCTGAGAAACCAGCTCTGATAGCAACCACAGGTAGATTATACAGGGTGTCCGAATAAACATGGTATTTACATGACATGACTTCTATATCGTCATTGTTTAAAGCGGGATTATTTCGTAAATATGATTTTGTAGCATCACAGTTAAAACTACTATGCCTCGGGATTTCCAAAATGTGATCTTCCATTTTTTACCTTCAAAATCTTTCATTTTTTACCTTCAAAATCTTCCATTTTTCACCTTCAAAATCTTCCATTTTTCGCCTTAAAACTCTTTCATTTTTCTCCTTCAAAATCTTCCATTTTTCTCCTTCAAAATCATCCATTTTTCACCTTCAAAATCATCCATTTTTCACCTTCAAAATCTAACTTCCATTTTTCACCTTCAAAATTGACGGTGATGTTAGGAAACTTGTCCAGATTCCAGTTTATTGAAAATCAACAAAACAGCTCAAATTTCAAAGATACAAAGAATTGAGACCACATTTTAGAAAGCTTATTGTAAGTTCAATATTTGTTTGTTGCATGTAATTTATCAATTATCGGAAATCAAAGACGATATCAAGTCTTCTTTCAACATCATGTTTATTGGAACACCCTGTACTAACCCTGTATCTGAAGCCAGGAATCAGCTCGGTTTTAACAACCACCCCCTTCAAAAATAGGCTTTTACACAATCAATATTTTTAGGCTTTCAAAGGACTTCACAAAAATCTGATAAATTTAACATATTTCAATATGGTACTTTTATGTACAAGTATACTCTGCTTGTCTGACTGTCTGTGTGTTTGTATCCAATTAACGCCAAAACGGCTGAACCGATCGGGCCCAAATTTTGTGTGAAGCCTCATATTACCCCAGGAAAGTTTTATAAATGCTCAAAATGACACAAATTTGTATTTAAAAGTTTTCGATTTTTGTAAAATTTTGTAAATGCGTAAAAAAATATTATTAAATTTTATATCGTACAACGAGAAGATACTCACAGATAGAGCCACAACGAAAAGTTGAATTAGAAGATTCTAAATCTAAGGGATTCTAAAATGCGTTTTTAAAATCGAATTATTTGCAGGAGTTAACACGAAAATTATCCATCCACCGGAAGACATATCTTTAGTAAGTATATTTTCATCATAGAACAGAACCATTCAACTTTTTAAAGTTAGGAAAAAATTTGTTAAAGAAATAAATTTAAATTTTAGATTTTTGTTGAAATTGTTACTATTTTTGTGCTAAAATGTTCGTTTTTTTAACGAAATATCGTTAGGAGTTATGAACTGTTTTATTATTTGTAATTTTTTTTGGTCACTTTGATTTGACATATAATCCTTTTGTTTTGTTCTTGTTTCAAAATTTTCTTGTTATTTTTGAAATTGTTATATTTATTATTCATTGTTAGGAGGAGCATCGATCTTCCTTACCAAAATATCGACCACCCCCTCCCCCTGTTCCCCCTGCTCCTTCTCCTGTCATGGAACAGCAGCCCCAGGTCATGATACTGCAGGCTGGTCAACCTATGATTAATCTTGCGCCACAGGTAAACTCGAGAACCAAGGTTGTATAATAAGGATGTTTACTCTCGATGGGCTCTAATGCACGGAAAATGTGAAAACAGATAGATAGATAAAAACCTGATATGACGTAACTCTCGCCTCTTTAATCATTGGTGTCATATGAGGCTTATATCTACCTTCCTATCTTAGGAGACGACATTTTCCGTTCATTGGAGCGCATCGAGAGTAGCCGACCTTATTATACATAGACAACTTTGTCGAGAATAGAGACCTTGGGTCGAAACTTTCAATGACTCTTTTCCATAACGTCTGAGCTTCGAAATCTTTGAGCAATTGCTGTCACGATAACTCATCGACCTTGAATTTTGAAAGATTTACTATACAACAAATGTTTCTCCTCAAGTATTACATATTTTCATTATTGGTTTTATGTAACTAATCTTTAGTTAATAAAGTTCTGATAATGTATGGACTTTATTTTGTTCTATTCTACTTTCTCACGATATTCCAAATCGCTTAAAATGTACTAACCTAGTCTACTGATCTTGCAATCCAATAATTTATTTAAGTAAGACTGAAAGCCAAAAATATTCCCCCTGAAAAAAAATTTGTTTTTGTTACAAAGGCGGAAAGTCGACTTGAAAAAAAAACGGTGAAATTAACCGTTAACACTTTCAGATGGACCCTAGACAATTTTATCCCGCTGTCAGCTCTATGGGAGTACGTATTTTACAAATTTTAATTAAAGGGGGGGGGGAAGTTATTTAAAAAATTTAGTTTTGGTTTATAATTATTAAAAATTTAGATGAGCCTTCCTCAGCACTATTTCCCAACAGTTTCATCTATGAGCTCAGTACGTATTTATCTAATGGACTAAAAAATTACGAGTTGTATTTTTATTCTGATGTTAAATTACATACGCATTAAAAATAGTGTTAGGTATTTTCCCAAAGGCGACTTCCCAAGTGACAATTTCCAAAGCGACAACTTCCCAAAGGTTAGGTTAGGCCTTCGGAGGCGCTGCAGGCTGAAAGGTGGGCCGAGCGCTGTGGCTAGGAAGGGCCTGAGGACCGAGTGCTGCGGCCAGAATATACCAGGGGACCGAGCGCTGCGGTTAGGATGGACCAGAGGGTCAAGCGCTGCGACTAGGACTGACTTGGGAACAAGTTGCCGCTTGGTAAATGGAACACTTGGGAAGATTCCATTAGGGAAAATACCTTTAGGAAGTTGCCGCTTTGAGAAAAGCCTTTGGGAAAGTACCTAACATCTATAAAAAAGCATTTGCCTTTTTTTGATTTGTTGGACTTAAGATCGGTTCAGCCGTTTGGACGATCGACCGATCTGTCCACAACTTTCCGATACCTCCAGATAGGTTTTTAGCGGACGGTAACAATTTAAAAGAGTTTTTAAATTTAAAAAATGACAAATCTTAAAAATGTTTTATTTTTTATCAGTTTCATTAAATATAGAAATGTTGGTATAGTTTTTGTCAAGACAGAGGACTTTTCCGTTGTCTNGGGTAACTTCAGAATTTAATCCCTTGCACCAATTTGTAATCATTTAGATTCAACATCAGCAAAACATGTACAACGCAATCTCTACCATGAGCTCAGTATGTTTTTTTTCAGTGCACATATTTTTTGAATTTTTCAGTTTTCATGAAAAGTAAATTTTTTAGATTGGACAACCTCAACCTCAATATTTCCCTACAGTTAGTTCAATTAGCGCTGTAAGTATTTTTATTATTACACATTTAAAAATATATTTTTGTCTTTCCGGGTATTCAATGCTTTTTATCATAAACCCCTGGTTTTTAAGTTTTTTAATCATGTAATGTCCACTCATAGTCATCGAATACATTTAAATAAACAGCGTACATTTCTTAAACAATACATTTAATAGAAAACATTTCATAAATAGTACATTTCATAGAAATCATTTCATTAACAGTACATTTCATAGAAATCATGTCATATACAGTACATTTCATAGAAAACATTTCATAAACAGTACATTTCATAGAAAACATTTCATAAACAGTAAATTTCATAGAAACATTTTATAAACAGTACATTTCATTGAAATCATTTCATTAACAGTACATTTCATAGAAATCATTTCATAAATAGTACATTCCATAGAAATCGTTTCATAAACAGTAAATTTCATAGAAATCATTTCATAAACAGTACGTTTCATAGAAATCATTTCATAAACAATACATTCCATAGAAATCATTTCATAGAAATCATTTCATAAACAATACATTTTACAGAAATCATTTCATTAACAGTACATTTCATTGAAAGAACGACATTTCATAGAAATCATTTCATAAACAATACATTTTACAGAAATCATTTCATTAACAGTACATTTCATTGAAAGAACGACAGGACATTTCATAGAATCTCAAACTATCGTTCTTGGTGAATAATACACAGTTATTTTTACCCTAAAAGAAAAAAAATTCTCAGCCTATTTTTAAATTTTGTTATCTAAGAAATGTCCAAACACCAAAAAAATTAGATTAATTAATTTATTATTGCAGATGATGCCGCGGCCCACACTAGTCCAGGGAATGCAAGGCATCCCAGTCAGTGTTCAAGGTATTCCTGGACACCCCCTGCAGGGACTTCAAGGACATCCTATGCAAGGACTGCCAGCCCATCTACAAGGATTGCAAGGACACCCATTCCAGGGAGTTCCTCAAGGAATGATTCAAGCTATGCCAAATGCATCTATGCCCAGTATAATGATGTCCCAGCCCCAGGTAAGGTTGTTTTTTCCCTTTAAATCTATACAAACCATCCCGTCCGGGTAAAACTTTGGGAAATGCGAGGGTACTTAGTTTTGTTCTTATCCTCAAGTGCTAAACATAATCAGTCTTAAAGATAAACTTTATCAATTGTGGGATAAAAGTAATTTTAAAATTTTTGTTAAAAACATACAAAGATTATTTAAACACTGCACAATATTCTGCCTGTAAAATGTTGATGAGCTATTGGCATAATTCACTTTTTTTCTGACGAACAACATGACTTATTAAAAATATCTTTCAAGGACAAATATTTTTGGAAATTTAATAATTTTATATTTAAGTTGTTTGCGCAGAGACCTCAGATGATCAGTTTACCTGGGCAACAGCAAGGTGAATAATATTTTTATTTGGGAAACTTTATACAGATCCGATCTTAGCTCTAGGGGAGATACAACCCCTTCTCTAGATTGAAGTCCGTGGCTAGTATCCTTCAAGATCTTTATTCAATAGTTGGAAGAAACTCCACCAATTAAAGCTCATCATTCGTTTACTTAATTAGAATGCTGCACTCTGATGGCTTAATTTTTTATAACTGCAGATGTAATAATCTTTTTCTGATTTTAACTCGGGTCTTATATACTAGATTCTGCCCAAAAGAAATTTTAGGATCTAACGGACTGCTTTCTGATTTTTCTTCAACTAAGAAAGGGCTGCCTCTTCCCTATTTTTCAGTTATAGGGAATTAATTTCATACCAGCATATTGGGGGGCTTAATTTCCTGATTTTATTTTTCTTGGCTACAGATCTACAGAATCCGATTACCAGGATAAGAAATGGTGTTTTAACTTGACATTTCCCAGATTCGTGAGAGAGTTGGCCGATGACAACTTAGGTTTGTTCGGGATCAAACATTTTTCACATTATGTGATTATGTTGCATATCCTTTGCTCTAGAGTAAAACTTTTAAGTATTCAAGCTTGAATTCCTTCATATTGGGTAATTTCATTCAAATCGTAACCAAGAGTAAAGCAAAGAATATGCAATTAAACTATGCAGTGTATCGACATGCCCAGCTTTTTTTACCGGTTGCAAACCATAAATAGAATAGTTTTTCGAGGAAGTAAGGTAGGTTTACAAGGAAACATCCTTGACGGTAAGTAGTCCCCTTCATTGGGAACGGTTTGCATTCCGTTTAAATCTGCTAGATCAATTCAAGTTGGGCATGCTCTTTAGACTGAAAACGGGGTTAAAGTGAGCTCAATTAACTTATGCATTTAACAAAACTTTTATGATTCGCTTTGCTTAGGTTTTCAATCATCTGGACTGATCCAAATAATTTTTTCTTAAATTTTTTTTTTATTTATCTAGTTTTTTTACTGGGTGGGTTCCAAGTATTGAGTTCTCTTTCTCCCTGTAGACATGTTACTTCAGTTTTCCCATCACAGTTTTCTCACATTGTGCTAGAAAGGGTTCCAGGGGATTGAGATATTAAACGTTTTATGATTGCCAAGTTTGCCGGATTGGAAATAAAAACAAAAATGGATCCAATAATTTAAAATCTAGATTACTTGTTGCGTTTTAAAACCAAATTAACAGTCAGTCGATTTATGAAGTTTTCCACCAGATGAATTTGGCAATTCTAAAATGTTAACACTTGATAAAAATGTTTGAGTCGGTTTAACTTAACCAGTGTCATGGACTAATACCCCGGTTTACTTTGATGTATTTGCTGTATATTAGTGTAGAACATAGGTTAATTTGAGGTCGGAACTGGTGTATTGTTAATCCCTTCAAATTAGTATTTTGTGTGGCGGAACGGATTAAGTTAAATCAATTTTGGATAGCTCTGTAATATCTGAGGATGCAATCAAGGAAAGCTTTGTTGACTCAATATTTTAATTTAACCAACGACCATTAAATAGAATATAAGCATTTTTTACAGATTCAGTTATAATCGCTTAAAATTAAAAGTGTGGATTAGGCGCTGTAGATTAGCTCTATTTTGTACAAAAGTTTCGACCTTTGGTAATTATTTCCAACTGAAGAGGTTAAATTGTCCCTTACAAGTGTATTATATCTCTTCCTCTGCGGGTGCTTTGTCAAAACTGTTATTTTTGGCATGAGTGTTTTCCAATACTGAGTGACAGTGAAATAAACTAAAATTTTAGTTTTAAAACGTAAATTTACTTGCTGTAGTAGTCGTTTATGCCCTAGTATACTGTACAAATAATAAAAAATGATAAATGCCTGGTATGGCTGATTCCACACTAAGGTTAGTACCCCTTGGGCAGGTAGGTTGGGTACCACTAAACTTTCGTGAATGCTTCTCTGCCAACTCTATGGCACTGTCAATTTCTTTGCCTTGTATAATTAGTCCACTTATATTAACCCCAAATCATCAGAGTTTTTGAGGTTCTCAACAACAGCTCACCTTTCTCAATAATTGATGTTTTATTTTTGTGCGAATCCCTTAACTCTGCTGATTTTAAACTTGTGGTTGGCAGGTGTTGTAAAGACTTGGATTGCCATGTGATTTTTTTTTGTTTTTGAGATTTTATATTTTTTATTAAGGTTAAATTATTGGTCGTCATTACATGGAATTTTAACTTTTTTTTTGAATGAATCACAATGGCATCAAGTCCTTTAATAACATGTTACCAATATAGTTTCACAACTTGCAGCTATGGTGCCGGGACCACTGGTGTTGGGAGGTGTCAACCAGATGGGAGGACATCTTGGCATGGGTCTCATCCAGCATGGCAGTCCTTTTGGTCTCCTTGGGGGACTAGGGATCCCAAGATTCAGATGACAAACACAGGACCTCCTGGGACTAGGAGGTCCGTCTCTAGAAGTTGATGGTACTTCAGGTCTTGGAGCCGTCAATGTAGGAGGAGCAGGGCTTCTCCGGGCTCCATCACAATTGCAAGCAGTGGGACAACCAGCATTCCAACTTGGACTAGCTGGCCATCCAAGCCTGAGCACATCTCTAGGACTGGGAATGCCAATAGGTTACCCAGGACTAGGAGGAGCTACTAACGGGCTGAGTAGTGCCACAGCAAATCTGATGGCACATCCTTTACTTGGATTAGCCCAGCAGTCCAGTGGGAATGTTGTAATGCTTCCAAGAATACCATGAAGATTTGCGTTAGAACTTATTTATTTTATACTTGCTCTGGTTGTGTTAGCAAACTATTCATGCTTAAATATTTAGATTCAATTATTTTGATCAAACAAATCTTAGTTGTTATAATTTGGGCATTTTTTGTTGTTGCTACTTTTAGAATCTCTTGAGTTCTTTTTGTAATTAATTTGTTTATAATCACCTGGAATTAACAGTTCATCATTGTACAGAGGGATCTAGATATTTGATAAATTTCAAATATTTTGGAAAACTCGGAAATATATACTTCTTGTCTGCATGTAATTAACTCTCTGGTGAAATAAACATTTTTTTTAAAGTTGCATATTCTGTTCTTGTCTTCTAGTTTTCTATTAATTTTGAAGTACTTTTTACTAAACATGTAGTTTTTAAACCTAGTGTAAATTCATTAATTTTCAATGCTTATGTATTTCCTAATAAAACAAATCATTTATTATTTATTTTTTGTTCTATTTTTTAAGATTCTGAATTCAAATTAAGTAGTATTTACATGAAATCTCAAAATCTATATAGTGGAAATTTAAAGTATCGAACATCCGATTAATTCGTTTGGTACAATCTGAAGGTCTCGATATTCCTACTTTTTTTTGTAAGAAAGGTTTTGAACCTTTCAGAACTGATTTCCTCCACTGATCTATTATATTTTAACTAAAATTTACAAGACGAATATAAGCAAAAAAAAACTAACCTTAAAATGATAGTTTTTGGTTCGCTTTTTGCAAATTCCTTTTGTTTGGGTCAAAATTTGGCACAGTGAGGACAGTATATGTTTAGAATAAACAATTTTGGTAAATGTAAATCTTTTCAGATTTTATTAAACCTTTTAGTAGTCTAAAAACATAAGTATTGTGGACAGTTATTACCGAATTTCAACATGATCTCAACAAATCGAGGAAGGCTGATGGGAAGAAAGAAATCTGTTTTTCTTATATCTACATAATTCTTGAATATAAGTATTCTAGAGCTGGTCTTAATTTTAAACAAACGGCGAAAATCGTTAATTTTCTTTTCACTTTTGAACAGGCCGCAAGGTAGAAAAAAAGGAAGAAACAATAAACTTGCGTCAAAGCCAACCTATAATAAGTATTTTTTGGAATTATATTAATAGTTTCTATAGTGAAACCAGAAACTTAAAACACACTGCTGAAAATGGACCAAGTCAAAACACATAAACTTTTTCTTTGGATACGATAATATGCAGGCCACTGAGTTAAATTCTCAATTTTCAGAAAATGCCACCTACGGAATTTCGAGCAAATTAATTTTTAAGAAATTGTATAAATCATGTGCATTCAACGGTTTTAAAAATATTAGAAAAAGACAGAAAAATCTTGAATTATCTTTGAACCTACAGTTACGACTGAGTTTATACTTAAAAATGCACTTGATTTCTACAATTTCTTTATAATGGAATTAATTAAAATTCTTAAGGGTCCTTTTCTGAAAATTTAGATTATAACTCAAAAGCCTGCATATTGATATATTCCGAAGAAAAAAATAGGTGTTTTGACTTGAAACCTGATGGTTCATTCTCAGCAGTGTGAAAAGCAATACTTAAGTGCATTTGATGTTATTGCATAGTAAATAGCTTTTCTATTAAGTTTTCAAATCACTTTCTCAGTGAAATGAATAATTTTACTCTGCACAATTGCTCCGTCTGTCTCGTGTTCATTGGACCAATTAGTCCCAACTTGAGTCTGAAGTCTTCTACGTATTCCAAAGTTTACTGGATATCACTGTGTTGTGGAAATCTAGTTGTGGGGTTGCCTATGCCTTTACACAAATGATGAGACTTCAGTGACAATTTCGTAGAATTTAGGCAGTCTTCTCTTTACATTCATGGTCCCCTACAATTGTAATATTTTAGGACAATTTTTGAGGAGATTTTAACTCGGGTGCCGGGAGTGCCAGGACTAGCATAGAAACTGAATTCGGAGCAGAGATACAAAATGACGGACAAATTCTTCCGAACCTCCCCCAAACAGTCTTCCGGGAATGAACTTCTGTTTATAATCGTAAATTTCTATTTAAAACGAGATTAATTTGACTATTTAAGTACGGTAGTTAATCTAAAGTATCCTTAACATTTTCATATTGATGTTTTTCTTTTTTATAATCATTTTACAAGATCTGGAAGAAAATTGCTTTTATAGATTTTTTTTCTCAACAAATGTTGAAATAGCTGGCTTTTTTCATGAATAGCTTTAATTAATAAGCAGACAAATAAAAAATATTCTTCATGAAATGTTAATTCTATAAAACATTGCCATTAGTAAATTTTCTTTCTACAGGGTGTCCCAAAAAACATGGGAATTCAGTGACGAATTCGAAATCGTCTTTGTTATGAATTAGCATTGTAATACCTAATTTCTAAAGCCATAATACTATTATGTCTGCTAGAGTTTATTTTATGAAAAGACTGTAAAGATCTGTCTATAATCTATCTTCGCAAGATGAACAGTGAAGACGGACAAGTTTACTCTGTTTGTATACTGCAGTTTTCTTGTTTTACTAAGTACAACTGTATGCAGTTGCAAAACATAAACAAACAAAATGTGAACATGGCAGACAGTACTCTTACAGATTACAGCTTTCTCAGTAGGTATCATTATACTAAATCAAAGAATTATTTATAAAGACGATATCGAATTCGTCACTGAATTCCCATGTTTATTGGGACACCCTGTAGTTATTGAGATATTTAAGAAACAAAACTTTTTGTTTGTTGTTGATCTAAACATATTTTAACAATATATTCTAAATGTGCCTATGCAAAATATATATAAATAGATTATTTTTGCTGTTATTTGTACATTTTGATCAAGAAAAAGATTTGAATAGTAAAATTAATCAAAATTTGTTTAATATTACTCAACTAAAATATCGGCTAATACAATAAAAGAAAAATGTCAAAAGACGAAAGAATGAATGTCATATGACAAATAAACAAACTTTGACACATGCCAAGAGACAAATGTGTAAACTATCAACAAGTTTTGTTTAATTGTAATTTTGGAAAATATTTAACAAAATTTGAGTAATGAAAGAAGAAATTTGAAATGTGAAAAAAGAATTTTGACGTCTGATGCGTAAGACCAAAATCTCATTTTTTAGAGTGTACACACACATTTTTACATAAATTGTTCGATTTCGCATCAAAATGATTGTATTTTTGCGAAACAAATAAGATTTTGAACTTCAGGTCAAAAATTTGAATGAATTACCGAAACTTCAAACAAATTTTTAGCATATGCAAAATTTGTATCCTAATTGAGACAAGGGTTTTTTGCATATAGAAGGTTACCCACAAAGAAGACGACCTGAAACTTTCTAAATATGTCGATTTAAAAGTGAAATATCAATTGTACTAATAATTGATCGGAAGCACAGTGCTATAAATAGGTAAAATGAGATTCGGAAGCTGTGAAGTTGCTTTCCCTCCCTCATTATTGGAACTTCACGAAAAACATGTTTGGGTTGTTCTTAATTATTTCTAAGGGTGACATACACAACCCACTTCCATCATCTTCACTTCTGTCGTTAGGTGTACAATAAACATGGAAAGGATGAAATGACCTTTGGATCCTCCTGATACACTGAATGCCCTCTAAGCCCTTGAGAAACCGTCTCCTCGCTACCTCTCTAAGCCTACCTCCATGGCCCGCATTTTGGTCTCCAAGTAAAAGATATTTTATATTTATCATCAAAAAAAAACTTTTTTTCAAAAAATCTCAACATCCTAAAATAATTTTTAATGAAACATAAACTTGGTTTGAAACGTCTATTTTAATTCATTAACTTGTGAATAACTATTGCATTTTATAAAAAAAAAATATATTCTTCTGATGTATTCTATTAATGAGTTTAACTGTATATACGTATATTTTAAAAGTGTATCTTGTACAAATCAAACTGTAATATAGCACAAATTTACAAAACAAAAAAGTTGTAGAGTATTTTACTATTAATGCTTTGTGTAACAAGTTGAGATCAATTGAATGAATTAATATTTAAACTTTGTGGATTCTTAAAATTTCATGGATTTTACTATGAAGATTGAAGATTGAAGATGTATATTTCGATTTTTTGGTTGGTGTGAAGCCATAGAATGTGAATAAAAAGTAAATGTAGCAAGCGTAGATCAAAAAGAGGAGGCATGCAAGAGACACAGAGACGGTCTTGCGGGGCTTGGAGGTGTTTCTGCACATCATGAGGCTCCGGAGGACATTTTGCGGGGCTGGTGGCAGCTCTGCACCCCCTCCCTCCTTTGAGCGGTTTTATAAGATTCAGAAGTTGGCCTACCTTACCTCTAATTTTTACGGGGATATCAAATTTTTAGACAGTTTTGAAGCTATAATGGTGTTAATAATAAATGGGAATCTGGAAAATTTCTCAATATCTGTCAATTTATAAAATATGCAGAACTTGCACAGACCTCATTTTAAATTTTGGTGACAATCGTTTAAAGATTCAAATATATATAATTCTATTCAATATAAATGCTGTGTGATATAAGACGAATATAGAAGTATTGCACTTAATTCCCATTTTTTTTGCAGCACATATTGCAGTGCAGAGAATAATAGAAAAGGCTTTTTCTTCATATAACGGGGTTACCCACAAAGGATGAGACTTTTGAGAGGACTGTATGGAAATGGAATGTAATATTGTCAGTTTCCTTGTATTAAAGATTCTATGCAACTGCAAACGTATTTCATTAAAATTATAGCCCATTTTTAGGCAGTGTAAAAAAATATCTTTTATTAATTTTCAGGGGGGGGAGGGTCGGGGGATAAAACATTTCAGTTCAGCATGCTTCGTGCTACTTCGCTTGTAATTATTTCTCCGATATCTTCATGTTTTTATTGTAATCTCTTAAAGTAAAATGTGCATGGAACACATTTTTTATGAATATAACCCGAAAAAGACTCTATATTTCAAAGATTCTGAAGAAAAGACGACATGTCCTTAAATAATCAGCTGCTTATATGTGTACAATAGTATTAAGAAAATATTGGCGCGAGAAAGATTAGTTAATAATAATTGCATTGAATTGTACGGCAAAATTCTAAGCATTTGTCGTGTGCTTGGTGATAATTGTGAGATACTAGACAGTCGACTGTCGATCTGTAAAACTAAAAATCTTTCTTTGAATGAACAGTGAACAGGACGCCATTGATCGTTCAGTGACCTTAATATAGCCATGTTTCATGTAAACCTAATAAATATATAATATATTGTCAGGTTATGATATTTAAATATAAAAATGTATTTATATCAGTCCATTTTCCAAAAAGCTAAAAGTTAACAAAATCTGACAACTCAAAGTGGGTCAAAACAAAGATTTAGTTGGTTTCAAGAAAAAGTAGTCATTCAGGCAGTGTGCCTGAGGACTCAGACAGTTAGTGTTAAAGCCCAGTGTTAGACCTAAAGGGAGGGCTATGGGTGTTAAGAAAAAGACAGAAAAGTTCAACAGCCGAAGATTAATACATTATGAGTTCAGTAAAAAAATACAAGGGGGGTCAAATTGACCCCCCCCCCCCAGCAGGAATAGGGTTAATGATTATTTTCAACATAATGAAGTATTAATGTACATAATTTCAGATATTTAAGAATGACTTGAGTATAAACTTTAATAAAAATGGATAAAGGAACTCTTCTTGCCTTCTTTAAACCTATTTCACGGTAATAACCAATTCATTGCTGTGATATTGCTTTAAAGAGTCACTGAAGGCGTTTGAATTACAATTAGCAGAGGTGTATCCCGTAAACTTTAGCCTTAACAGTCAGTTTATCGTCTTGGGCAATCACATTTGCATTATTTTGTGTTCAGTTATGTAAGTAATTTCAAGTGCTCTTTCATGTCTGATCCACAACGGTACCCTTTGAACCAGACACCGACATCTCTCTCATGGTTACTCAGACAAAGGGTATAAGGATCCCACTGTTAATTTGATATCATGTTGATATTTGTTGCTATGGACAAATTAGATAAACGGATACATTTTGTTGTGGTACCTCACATGACATAAGGAATGGTTGATGGATGGTTGAAAATGAAAGCTTTGTCCAGAAGTAAAGTTGATTAAACAATTTTGGGGTGCAATTTACGCAAACAAAAAATTGCGAAATTTTATGTTACGATGTTCAAAGAAGAAATGACAACTTTAAAAAGAACTGTTAAAATCTAAACGTTTTATAGAAAAGAGGTGCAAAGCGCCCTGAAAGCCTGATTTATTGATGAAGTGTCATTATACATTCAATGAAACTAATTTTCTTAATGTATAGTCCTAAATCTGGTTTGTTGTCAACGCCCGAGGGGAAGAACTTGGAGACCTTAGAAAACCCTGATTCTGAACCCTCAGATTCCATCAAAAAGACTGAGAACCCTGTTCAAGAACCCCCATGTTCAATCCGGAGTACGGGGAACCCTGATCTTGAACCCTCAGGTTCCATCCGGAGTACAGGGAACCCTGATCTTGAACCATCAGGTTCCACCCCGAGTACAGGGAACCCTGATTCTGACGATGGAACAGAAAGTTCTGATTTACAAACCAAGAACCTAGAACCAGGTGTTCAAAATGTTCCAGAACCTGGAACCAAGGAGAAAGTGCAGAATCAATCAAATGAAAAGGAAAGCAATTAATTAATGTAAAAAAGTTTAGTAATTATTATGTATGTCGTTTAGGACTTAAGTTCTCGCTTTTTTATTAACTTTTATAATCTAGCTGACTTGGTATTTTTGTCAAAATTATTATCCCTCATTTTCCTAGCGTAGATTAGTACTAAACCTAAAGAACTTCATCAAAATTCAGGGGATTTGGTGTATTCTGCTCCATTTTTTACTTCCATCCTTAAGAGATTATTTTAGAAAAAATACCTTTTTTATAATTAAATATGCTTGAAGGAAAGTTCAGTAGAAACTGAAGGAAAGGACCAACAGGATAAAGATGAAGAATCTAAGAAAATGAATAATAATTCATTACCGAAAAGGTATTGTTTTAAGAAAATTGGATAATATAAGATAATGAAAGTTATAGTGATATTAGATTTCTTTGTGGTTTTGATATGTACGCAAACTTTCTTATTTGAATCCTGAATAATTTCTATTTGTAATATTATCCCAACTTTCCACGTGATCATTATCCAGGCAACCAAATTTATTTACACATTTATTTATTATTATTGAATTATATTTAATATTGGACTAAACTTATTTAGTCCAGCATTTAAGATCATTGACTTAAATCTGAGTTTGAACCTTTTAAATATGCGGAACAAATTGATTCAAATTCCTTTCCGCTCTCAATTATTAGTTCAAAGGTTTGATAAATAGTTTGATTTTTAGTTCCGAGGCCGAATCTATGGAATAAAAAAATTGCGTCACTGATCTGCCAAAAACTGGTTTGAATTGAGCACTTAAGTCTCGAGACACTGAATACAATTTATAGTGGAACCAACCATTCTGAACCGCGCCTCATATTTGAGCGGCGGCTCAAATTCTTAATATTCGGCCTCCGAGCAATCAATTAATCAAAATCATTGGAACAAGCTTGTTAATTTTTGTTTTCTTTATTTGTGTTTAAATTAGGAAAAGAAAAACGGAGGACGTTGAAGAAGATCAGGAGATGAGAAAGAAAATAAAAAAATCCGGCGACACGTCCACCTCAGAAAGCCTAGGACTGAAACAGAACTCCATTCAGCATTTCTTCAAGAAGAGTAGCGGAGATGCGAGACCTGATCCAAGTACTCATGTTTCTTCCAGATTATTCAACAAAAAGAGAAAACGAGTTCGCGTGATAGACAGTGATTCAGATAGTAATATTTCGTTGGATTTTAACGATGCTGATACTGTAGTGACCGAAGACACACCTGAGAACACTGTTGATACTACTGACATCCTTGATACAACAGTGGAGCAAAACGTGAAACCATCAAACCAAGTTGAAGATAAGAAATCTGTGAAACCATTTCAGAATTCTACGATAGCATCCGGGAGCCCAGGTGTGAAGAATGCCTTTACAATGATGATGAAACGGAAAGAAATTCCTCAACCAGTTCTTGATGAAACCTCCAAACACTTAGAAGAAAATAAAAAGATAACTTCAGAACAAACTGAATCTAAAGAGAAACATATTGAGACGGTTGAAAAGGAAGAACAACAAAATCCGCCTAAAATTCCGGATGTGAACTCTAGTAAAGATCAGAACAAGTTCATAGCGGCTAAAGTTGATAAAGAAGAAGTAGACGTCAAAGTAGAAAGCGTTGATAAAGAATCTGCGAAGAAAGTGGACACAGACAGTTACAAGCCCATTAAAGTACTCATGGAGACTCCAACTAGGAAATTTAAGGTATTTTTACAAATACTTTCTGTAAAGTTTGAAATGGAATTGACGTTTTCTAATAATTACTAACAGCTTTGTGCTGACAACCATTGGGTGCCGGTGGACATGAAAAAAAGTTTGACCCTTTCAAGTTTATGGAAGAGATTGGTTTACAATGTTGATTTCAGGATGCAAGACTAAAGAATATGCTCTCTGTATTGAGTTCTATCAAGAGTGATGATGAATATGAAGATGTTGAAATGATTGAACTGGATTTTACCCCCAAGTCTAAAAAGTAAGATATCTTTTAGATTAAATATTAAAATCAGAGTTACATCCATTTTTAATTTTTCCAAGCTTCAAAATCAGGGGAGTATATTCTTACTAGAAGTTGAATTGTCCCCCCCCCCTGGCATTATTGTCCTGAATGTTCCCGGAGGGGAACATTTTTTTCTGTCTTTTTATCGAAAACTAGCTATTTTTGCCACTAAATCACTAACTTTACTATATTTAAAGTCATTTCGCATTATTTCCTTGATTGTTATCTTAAATTTACAATTATTCAGTCCTTCATGCCACATTTTTTACCCAGGGCCAGGGGTGTTTTTTCCCCAAAGTCACATCCCAAACATAAGGTTTTTTTGGACCGGGCGAAGCAGCAGCGCAAACTTCAAAGAAGTTTTCTGCGGGTGGGGGGCTTTGCATGGGGCAGAGCCACCCTTGCGGAGAAAATTTTTATATTTTGGTTGTACAATGGAGTGTTTTGCTGCCCTAAAAAGGTCAAACACCAGGTCCCCTCTAAGATTTTTTTGAAATTCTTAAAGCCCTTTTCAATCTATTTTTTTCAGTCATGTATGCGTACGGTAACAGAATAGCTTTTTTATTGGTGGCAAAACATTATATTGATTTTAGGGGGAAAATTGGATATTTTTCCCCGATAAGGTTTAGCATAGTTTCAAACCTGTGTGATAATATTTTTTTTAAAAAGTGAAAAATCTTGTTTGACACTAAGCTGTCTATAAGTCCAACCAGCTTATGCCTGCGTTACAGTAAAGTTTTTAAAAGATTCTTCTAAATACAATTGGGAAACGAGACTCAGTTTAAAGGAAATATATGAAACTTTTCTAAAATATCTGGTTTATCTTCCCCGTAGGAAATGGGGGAAACTTTTTAATATTTTTGGATGAAATCATGTTTTTTCTTTTCTCTTAAGCAACTGGGGAAAGTAATAACATCGCCATTCAGAAATAAAGGAAATGAAATATTTTTTGAATTTTCTTCCCCAGACTCATTTGAGTTAGTAAAGTGATATTATTGCGTTTCTTCTTTTAATATATTTTTTTCCCCCTTCCCCCCCTTTTTCCTTTTCTTCTTTTTTTATACTCCCCCTGTAATCAAAACTACTGCTTCCTTGAAGAAATTAATTGCTTGGACATTTGATAGATTGCAAATCATAAAATGTTAATTAATGTTGTTTTCAAAATATCCATCTAAAAACATTTCCATCAACGAATTTAATGCTAAATTTTTTTAACTGTGAAATCACGTCTACAAGATTTTGAAAAATAATTTGTATTAATTATTTTTTCATAAAATTCAGGAAAACTCGAAGAAAGGGGGAAGAGAGACGTCGAAGGGAAGGAAAGGAGGAAGACCCTGAAAAAAAAGGATTGGAAGAATCTGGGAGCAAGGAGTTTGAACTTGGAGAAGATAAAGAGAATTTAAAAACTGGATTTAAACCAATGGTAATGAACAAATTAAGTTCTTTTTCTGCCCTTTTTTCTCATTTAATACCTAAAAAGTTGATACAATAATTTGCATCAAGCTTTTCTTGAATGAATAACATATAATTAAAGGGAGTGGCCGGCTATGTAAGGTAGTTGTACTGAGTATGCAGTGTTGTGGAAAACTTTTTTCTGATTCATTTGAGACATATTAAACTTTTTAAAGACCTGTAAATCCTGAGTTTGAGCGCAAATTCGACGTTCAATACTCCCACTTAGAGGGTGGATACGTTTTCAGAATTAGTTTTCCACAACACTGCATACCCAGTTCAACTACCTTACATAGCCGGTCACTCCCTTTAAGGGACTGTAGATGTAATCATTTATTTCCACTTTCAAAATTGATTATTTTCAATTTTGGTTTCTTGAACAAAGGCGGATCTCTGCTTCAGAATCTGCAATGGAGATTGGAGGACATAATTATTAGTAATTAAAAATTCAGATTTTAAAATGTGAATTGGACATGACCCTCTTCAGATGGAGGGTCACTTGAAATTACAACCACATACAGTAACCTTAAAGGGACTGTAAGCGTGACCTTTCATTTTTAGAAAGGCATATCCGATTCACAACGGTACCCTTTAAATCTTTGTCCGGACAAAGATAAGGTAGATACCTTATTTCTACCTGGAGATGAAAAGAGTTAATCTGGGCATTAGAAAAAACTTTTTTATTCGAGTTGTTAAAGGTTAAGGCAGTTAGGGGAATCAAGACCCTATATACTTTTAAAGACATTTATTACGAGCAAAAAAATGCAGTCATGAAACCAGAATAATAAATGATGACCTGACCCGCTAACTGGAGAGTAGGATCTAAGTTTTAAAGTGAATATACATAAAATGCTTTTAATAAAAAATAAATTAATTTTTACTATTTAGAAATCTGAAATACTGGTTGATTAATTAATTTAAAATATTTAATTTTGATTATTTAGAAGACAGGCGTATATAAAGTGATGTGTAAAGGCAAGGAGGGAGAATTTGATTTCTCTAAATACATCTCAGGAAAATAGTTTATATATATAAAATAGCTTTTCTGTGCTTAATTCCGTGGGCTGTCTATTAGGGGTGTTCATTTTTAGGGTCACTTTTGGTACAGAGATGCAAGGTCGCCAGAAAGTTGCAAAATTTTGCAAGATTTTCAACAATAATTTTTAAAAAATTCTTAAATTTTTTTTTCGGGGTGCGCCAATTGATTAAAATTTCACCTTTTTTCGTTTTTTTCACAAAAAATTTAATATGTCCATCCCTAATTTGGTTATCAACATGCATATCAGTTATTTTGGAGATAAACATGTCTAGAATACACACACACAAAATTAAAACCCTATCTTGACTGGAAAGGTGTGCGCCAAATGGTTTCTTGAACTACGCAAAAACAAAAAAATCAATCAATCAATATTTTTCAACATTTTTGGCGCAAGTACTTCTAACCGAGGTAGGATGTTAATGTAGGGTTTCTTGCGTAGCGTTTCTCGAAAATAATTTTTTCGCATTTCGTTTGCTCGCAAAAAATGCTTAAATTCTTTGCCGAAATTTTTCTTTAATCTGTTTCGCGAAATAAGAAATACGAAAATTTCTCGAATAAATGCAAAAATTTCGCGAAAAAAAACTCTCTTCATCAAACATTTAAAGAAAGAGAAATTATTTGTTGCAGCTAGAACACTTTTCTCGAAAATTGTGTTCCCCAAAATTTTGTATAGTTTTCGCAACTTTCTCTTAATTCATTTTCTCGAAAAAATGCGTAATTTAGCGGAAAAGTTTGCGAAATACGAACGAAACTTTCGCATTTTTTTGGGGTAAGTTTTCGTTCGCTGGAAACCTTACGCGCAAGTAAAATCCACTTGCTTTGGAAACTGCTGTGTCTTTATATTTATTGCTCTTTTTAGTGTTTTTGTTTTTATCTTTTTAAATTATTTATGGGATGGGACCCTAAAGTTGTTTTTATTCTATTCCATATGTGAATTGCCTTCACTATATTTTTAATCTTTGTACAAATATACTTTGTATTTGGAGTTCTGGGCTCAAAGAAACGTCAAAATGAATTTGGTTAGGTCTCACACCAAGGGAATGTTAGAAATTAAAAATTAAAGAAGAAAAAAGACTTCAAGTATTTTTAAAAGGACCTTACCATGAAAATTCTAAATAAACTAGGTCCTTGGGCACTTCTATTCCAAGAATTGGTCTCAACTATAGAGTAACCGTGAACTGAAGAGAACAGGGTTCAGGTCAGATGTCTAAACAAATAGAGAACTATTATCCTAAAATAAACTATACCTGAAGGAGGGGTGGGGGCCTGTGTTCTCTACGAAAATCAATGGCTGACTCCAAACCAGTTTGAAAAGTTGGCGGGTAAGTTTTATACTGATTCAGTTAATTTTACATGGTCCAGAACATTATTGAGTTTTTGTTAGAATTGGCAATCTCTGATGTCACAATGTGTACTGCAGAAAAATGTCAATATAATTTGTTATTCTGGAATCGGACGGCAAACTTACTTGTTTCTTGCATTAACAAACTTTATAATATTTCATCGAAACTTACATTAAGTTACTGTACATTTGTTGTACCGTACAGCTTACAGTGTCGTATTTAATACCATTCTAATATAAATTATGTTAAGGATCTAGAAGTAAGAAATACAAGCAATCCCTGTATATTGATGAGAAACCTTTAAAAGAATTGCTCGGTAGTGCGAGCAGTAGCAATAATACCAGGAAAACATTCTTAAGCATTACATTTCCTAGCAAATAATATTATCCGTCCCAGAACTTTATTTTTTTTTTCTTTTTTTTCTTGAATTATCTTCTTCTAATTCTGAAAGGGACTGTGCGATATATTTCAAGTAATCTCCCATGCAAAGGTGGCAATGTGCGATGCAAAATGTTACCCTTAAAAGTTTTGTCTGACCAAGTATGAATTAAATATCAATGTTTATAATTTTAAAAACTGATTATTTTTAATTGTGGTTTTACTCCAAAAGTGACGTGCGCATTCTTTAGTGGAGAAATCTAGAAAAACGACGATATCTTCTTTTTTGTTATTATTGATCAAAATATGTTTCAAGCGCTTTGTATGGAGGGTCAATTGAGATTCTTTTTTTTTTGAAACGTGAATGTATAACTTGAATTTTTAAAGTGGACGGACTTCACCTTTAGGACTTAATGTTATCAAGAATACCGTCTCTCTTCGTACGGCTGCAAGGTATTAAAAAGAATTAATTGGTTTCTTTTACATTCTTTATTGATAGATGGCATAATAAGAATTAATCTAGATGCAGAATTTACATTGTACAACCAGATGTACATTGTACATGGGGATGGGATCTGATGTTGAATTTCTATTTGCTCATCTTGATTGCGTTTGAATAGATTGAGTTTGATTAGACGTTAATTGATTTTTTTATGATTATAATTATTGTTTTTTATTTTAATTTTGCATTTAGGAAAGCGAAAAGTCAGAGAATTAAGTCAGATAAATCAGAAAATGCTTTAACGACAACCAAGTTCAAATCTAAATCTTCCAAGTCCCCGAATACTTTATCTTCAAAGATAGATCATTCTAAAGGGGTAGAAGCAAAAGACAAGGACGAAAATGTTCCTGGAAACTCAGGGAAAGAACCACCCGGAAAATCCCTAGCTTCGGAAGAGGAGGAAGAGACTTCTGAAAGTTCACATGGTGATAGAAAAGATACTACTGAGACGGAAGAGACTCCTGGAAACTCGAGGAAAGAACCACCCGGAAAATACCTAGCTTCTGAAGAGGAGGAAGAGACTTCTGAAAGTTCACATGGTGATAGAAAAGATACTACTGAGACGGAAGAGACTCCTGGAAACTTTCGTCGATCTGGAAGGATTGCCAGGAATCAGGACAAGATGGATGAAAAGAAGAAGGAACAAGAAGAATTAGAGAAGAAGCTAATGGTACCATTTTATATTCACTGCATGAGAACAAATCTATTCCATTATTTTTAATATTTATTTTGTCAACCAAAAGTTGATGTTATTTTTATGTAACCAATGCTTAGGATCTGGATCCGTTGGCTTCCTGGTTTCGGATTCGGAAAAATATGCTAATCCACGAATTCGATCCAAGAAGCAAAAAGTTCACCAAAACTTTTAAAAAACAAAATAATTTATTTCAATGGCTAACTAATACGAGATTAATAAAAACTTCCTAACCTCGGAATGTTTCATAAAGCTTCAGCGCAAAATAAGCTAAAAAAATGAATTTGTTCATTTCTTCAAAAAGTCAGTAAATCTTGAAGAAATGTATAGGACCTGGATCCGGATCCATTTTTTCGGGATGGATCCAGGAACTGGATCCACATCAAAATGAAAAATCTTAATTTAGTACCACATTTATGAAATATGAAAATTAACTTTTTCAACTTATCTTTTTGTTTCCTAGGAGTTGGAGAAGAAGGAATCTGCCCGAAAGAAGTTGGGAAAGTTGGTTCCTCTAAACAAGATTGTAGAGAAGGATGATGAGGAGTGTATAAATCTAGGTTGGTTGGAACAAAAAGTTTTACAGGGTTGTATATCGGTTATTATTTCCCCCCCCCCCATTCAGCGATAAAATACTAAGAGATTGAATGAATTTTGAAGAAAAAGGGGGGGGGCAGGGGTGTTAATATTTTAGATTGATGGGAGGGCAGGGGAATAATCTTTGATGATTTGGGGTGAAAAATGAAAAGTTATACATCAAGAGACAACTTTTTCATTCTTTTTGATACTT